ATCGTATAGTGAATTATCATCATTAAGTTTTACTAACGCAGCTCGTATCGTGCTCCGTGTGGCGATAAGAATACAGCCTCCCCTACTGCAGCCCGTTTTGGTCGCATCTCGGTCTTTGCGATAGACGTCAAACAGTTTTGAACCAAAATACTCAGCATCAAAAAATTGGGCATTGAGCCAAGTCTCAATAAGTACGTAAATGTCATATTCACACAGCGCAGTAAATAGACGCACATCATCAGCTTTAGTTCTTAGACCAGAAACATTTTGAAAATAAATTTTTAATCGTTTGTTATTTGAGTGGTTGTTTGTAAATTTAACTAGGTTTCCTGTAATTGTTGCACTCCTTTTTCGAAAAAACTAAACGGGCTTACAGCCACATTCATTGGCCAAATATCTGACTCCAATAATTTTTCATACGACGTTTCTGGTACACCTGGTTTAAAGTTAACTCTTTTCAGGGTTGAGACGAGCGTATCCTTTTTAACCAATTTGTAGCACATTAATTAGTTTTTATGCACACCAGCATGATTAACTACAGAATCTAATATATTATCTTACGTGACTAGGGCTGCCAGATTGTACCGTGGGTACAAAACAGACTACTGTTGTTTGCGTTAATAGATTGTTCTTTAGGCATTCAATTTCGCTCCCCAACTTCCGCCTTACTTTTCGCATTTTCTTAAAGTCCACCACCCTGTAGTATTAAACAGCGCTGCACTCAAAACCTCCTTCCGGGCATCTCCACAATCACCTGATCTAAGTTAGCAAAGTTATTGATAAATATTTAGGTTCAATTTCCGCATACAATATTCGTTCTTTCCCTTTGTGACCACGGAGCCGACCACATTAAGTCGATTAGAAATATATTTTAAGTGAGTGCTAACTAAAGTGTTTACGGAGTGCAAGTGCACAATAAATCTTTTTTTTCGTACTCATCATCAGTCATTTTGGCCTGAATTGGTAAGATTTTCCTTAATTATCTTTATCAAGTCGCGGTATGTACATATACATATACATATCAAGAAATACACAATTTTCCAAGCAACTTAAAATCACGTTTTTCAGAAACTAATAAATCACCACATTCCGCGTACATTAACTTGGCGAGCTACATCTTTGTGTGAATTTACTACATCTAGCCGTGAATGTGAATACCATACATCGGCGTAGCCAGAATGAAATATAGGGGGGGAGGGGGCTCGATTCTATTAAGCTGCCATTTCATGGTACTATTTTATATATATGTAAGGAAAATTTTAAAGTTAGGGGGGAGGGCTCGAGCACCCCCCTGCCCCTACCTGGCTACGCCCATGTCACCATACTAAAAGTGTAGTACTTAAGGAAAAGACCCGCTACCACCTGGCCGCCAGTGTATAACCACTTCTTCCATAACTCAATCATCGTCAACAGTCGACAGGAAACCTGCATTTCAATGGGACAACCTGCATTTCAATGGGACAACTTTGTATAAGGACAACCAAATATAGGCCCGCCAATTGACCTGAAGGAATTGTGTTCTTTATAAGACATGTTTTTGTTCTTCATCGCCAAATCCACGACGTTTAAATTCATTCCTAAGCAAAGTTATTATATGTGAAGTACATAATAACTGAAAACCCTAGTTTCCAACAGCTTCTATTCTTTCTAAGTTCAGCCTGCGGTACAAAATTAAAAAGATAAGGAACAAAAGTAGACAGTGATTGCACTTCAAAGAATTCCAAAAGATTTAATAGTACATGTATGAAAGTTTCGGTGACCATCCGTTCTGTTTTTTTGCAAGACCGTACTGTTTTTCAAAGGTCGGTCCTGCGTAGTTTTTCAAACCTGAAAAACCTGAAAATGTACTGCTTTTTTCCAAGTGTCCTGCATTTGTCCCGCATTTTATTCGTTATTTT